GCGGAGGGGGCGCCGCACCTGTTGCTTCAGGGCCGGCCCCGGCCCGGACCCGGGCTGCCTGTGCCGATGGCTGGGGCGGGGCCGTGTGTGACCCGGGGCCGCAGCGCCCCCCTCCCGGCGCCGCCCAGCGGAGCGGCCGCCCGGGCACCGGTCCGTGCCCGCAGCCCAGCTCCCCTCCGCCCGGGCCTGTGCTTCTGGCCGCCCCAGGCGGAGCCGCCAGCGGGCCTGGCCGCCCGTCTGAGGCCCGCGTGGACCTGCGTGTCCTGTCCACCGGGAAGGGCCGCCCTGCCCGCTGGCAGCGCCCTGGGGCTGCTGCATGGAGCCCACAGTGACTCACCTTCACCTCCGCTGCCTCTGCCCCTTCCCCTGCCCCCACCCCCCTTCCCCCTGCCCTGCCCCTCCTCTCTGCCCCCCTTCCCTCTGCCCTCACCCCCCGCCCCCCCCCGTCTCTGCCCCGCTTCTCTGCCCCCTGCCCCTCCTCTCTGTCCCCCCTTCCCCCTGCCCCCCCTCCTCTCTGCCCCCCTTCCCCCTGCCCCCACCCCACCCCGTGCCCCTCCTCTCTGCCCCCCTTCCCCTGCCCCCACCCCACCCCCTGCTCCTCCTCTCTGTCCCCCCTTCCCCCCTGCCCCCCAACCTCTCTGACCCACATCCTCTTCCCCCTTTCCCCCTCTCTGCCCCACCCCACCCCCTCCGTGCCCCATCCTGAGGAACTGCCCCTTTGATGTTTACTTTTGCTTTTATAATCACACTCTTGTCATGCTTCCTCTTTCTTAGGTTTCAGGAAGTCGGAAGTGTCAGCTTAAAACTTGAGTTTTAGGGCAGGTAGGGATAAACCTCAGATCACACAGTAAACACATAGTCACACACACTATACACACTCACAGTCACTAATATACACAGTCACTCATACACACACAGCCACTAATATACACACACACAGTCATAGATATACTATATACTATTACACACATATAGTCACTCATGTACACACACATTCACACACAGTCACACACTCACACATAGTCACTCATGTACACACACAGTCACTCACAGAGTCACAGTCGCAGAGGCACACATACACAATGATACGCATACAGTCACACTCACCGCGTCTCAGTGGAGCCCAGCCTGGGCCCTGGCCCGGCCCAGCACCGCCTGCTCTCCTGTCTGCCTGTCAGGGCACATGTTGGGTGGAAGCCCCCCCCAGGCCCCTCCTGGGTGCAGTGCAGACACCCTGCTTACACACAAACCTCGTCTCCCAGGCGGTGGGCAGGGGTAGGTGTGAGGGGGCAGGGGTAGGTGTGGAGGGGCAGGGGCAGGTGTGAGGGGGCAGACCTTGGGCGCAGCCCGTATGTGTGCTCAGGGAGGGTGCCCATGACTACAGGAGGGCAGGACCACGGGAGAAGTGGGGAGCCGGGGAGATTGTGGGGGCTCTGGAAGCCAGAGGTGCAGGCCTGGTCTGGGCAGGAGGCCGGGCAGCGAGGGGCTGCGGGAATGGCCTCCCTCTGCCCGGCTGGGGCTGTGTGGTGGGTCAGGGTCCTCCAGGGAGGCTGGGGGGCAGCCAGGCCCCAGCTGCCGGCCAGAGCAGGGAGGGGCTGAGGCCAGCAGGCCAGGTTTGCGAGGGCGATTTCTGGGTGACAGTGTGGTGGGTTGTCACCTGAGCTGTGGGTCAGGACAGGGCGGCGGGCCCTGGGGGCCGCGTAGGAGGGGCTGGGAGAGGACGGGCCTCTGGGGCGGAGGCCCACCCAGAGCTGGGGGCCCAGGCAGAAGCGGGTGAGGAGAGCAGGTCCAGGGCGTGGGCTGGGTGTGGCACTCGGCCTGCAGCCGCTGGAACTGCCTTCGTCACCCCGAGCAGCCAGGATGACACAGCTTCCCAAACCGCACGGCAAGGTGACCAGCCGTCCTCAGGCCGGCACAGTCATGCCTGGAGGGCAGCCGGCCAGGCCAGCCTGAAGCCCAGTGAGGGCCGGGCTGGGGTGCCCAGCGAGGCTCTGGAGCACACCCCACTGAAGGGGCTCACTCTGGGCGCGTCTGCAGTGGGTCACAGGGCGGGTGGCATCGGGCCACTTGGGAAAGGGGCCTGGAGCAGAGGGGGCCTCAGGGTGGGCGGGTGAGTAGGCTGCAAGGAGCCCTGTTCCTCCCTCCCTTCTTCCTGCTGCCCCTGCCCTGCCAGGACCTGCCCCCCAACCCCCCCCCCAGCCGGGAGCCCGGATGAGGCCTGTCTTTATCGGCTGGCTGGGCGGGTTGATGGGCAGCGCCCGGCGTCCCTTCACTGCCTTCAGGAGGGGAGTGCTGAGGGCCCCCACGCCGCTGCCCGAGCTCACCCCAGGCTGGGCGGCCGCCAGCCTAGGTGAGAGGTTCACCTTCCAGGGTCTATGCCTCCCCTTCTGCCCGCTGGCTGAGCCCAGGGCTGCATGGGTGGGTCACCGCACACGGAGGGCCACAGCCTGGCCGAGGGGAGGCGGCCGTGGCCAGCAGCCGGGTTTGCTGGGAGCCGGAGAGGGAAGTGACCGGGGCCAGACCCCCCTCCTCGCCCGCCTCCTGCCCGCCGGCAGGACCGTGCTTGCCGTGGGGCCTGCGCTCGCTGCCCTGGGGACCGTCCCCCTGGAGGTGGGCTTCCCCGCTGGCCGGGCAGGTGTGCCTCCGGCGAGGCTCCCAGCTTTGGGTAGACACCAGCCCCGAGCTAGAAAGGGAGCCACCGAAGGGACAGGTGCTGCTGGCGCGCCGGGCCCGGCCTGTGGGTGGGAGCTGAGCCTGTGGCCGCCCCCGGGTCCACTCAGCGGCCCGCCCGGCACTGGGATCTGGTGTGAGTTTGATGCTCGAGGGCTGGGCCCAGGTGGCGTGTTCGGTGTTTGGTGCAACCAGTGCCGGTGCGGGTGCCAGGCTGCCCGAGGCTGCAGTCTCGCCCACTGGGTGCGCGTCTGGGAACGGTCCCTGCTGCCCGCTGGGTCACACACGGAGCAGACGATGTGAGAGCAGCCGTGACACGGGCTGTTCGTTAACCTCCTTACAGAGCACCTGTCTGCGTTGCGTGGCCGGCCCGCGGGGTCCTGGTGGTGGTTGGGTGCATGGGGACCCCAGAGGAGCTGGTTTCTGGGCTGTTTCTCCCTCGGCAACCACCTGTCGCCCCTACATTCACACACACACCCTCTCGTCCCGCTGCTCCTCGAACAGAAGTCTGTGAACTGCGACAGGAGCCGAGGCCAGGCCCCAGGTGGGGACCCTGAGCCCCCTCCTGTCTCTGCCAGGCTCCTTGCCCGGGCCCCGGCCCCAGCGGCTCAGGGTCCTCCGCCTGGTGGGTGTGGGGCGTGACCTGGGGCTGCTTGCAGGGGAGGGGGAAGCCCATCCGTGTGCATCCTGGTTCTGTGCCCGCATCCCAGCACAGACCCCGTGGTGGGCCCGTGGGCACTGAGGGGGCTCTGCCCTGCGCTGCCCCGGCCGCTCTGGCTGTGGACGCAGCGTCCCGTCCGCTCCGGGCAGTCCTCGCTGGCCTTCCGCTGCCCGCGGGTGGGGCCGGCTGTGGGAATGTGAGCTCTGCTCTGTAAACAGCCAGTGACTCACCGCTCAGCTATGCCGGCTCCGGCCCCCATGACGTGTGGCTGGGCCCGGAGCCCAGACACCGCCACCCTCGGTGGCGATGAGGGCGACGGCGTGGAAAAGTTTCCCACAGCCCGCCGCTCTGCAGCGCCCTGACCCCGCGCCGAGGGGCGGGCCAGGAGCGCCAGCCGGCCACCCCGATGCCAGGGTCACGCCGCTGGGAAGCAGCTCTGAGCGCTCCATCGTCCCAGGCACACATGTGTGACCACGTGAGGGTGGGGAGCTGGAGCGCCCGCTGCCCCAGCCGGACCTCCCTCCTCCCCATCGGGGCCCCGGAGAGGGCCCCTGGGCGTGCTGGGGCCACAGGCTTGGGCGCTGAGGCCTGGTGGTGAGGGGGTAGTGGGTGGTGGGGGCCCAGGGGGGCCGTGGGAGGGTCCTGCTTCGGCTGAGGGAGGGCGGGTGGAGCCGTGCTTGTGATGGAGGCTGATGCGGCTCCAGAGCCCGGGGACCCCTGTGGTGTTTGTCTGGTGTCAGGATGCCCGGTGCACCGGGTCCTGCGAGCTGGCAGACAGCCACCAGCAAGCCTGGTGCCCCCCCTGCCACGGGGACACGGGGTGAGCTTCCTGCCCCACAGCCTGTGGTGTCTGCCCTGTTGCCCCAGAGCCATTGTTGCTGTGGGCTTCTCTGTTTCCATGACAACCATCAGGGGTTGGCCACTTCCCAAGGTCGCCATGGCAACTATCGGAGGGGAGTCATGCTTGGGATGCTTGGCTGGCTTTTTGGTGAATGATTAGAGTGTGACACAATGCAGACGCAAACACCGGGCGGCCGGGACGGCTCCCGCCGGACGGGCCGAGCTCCCGCTCCCCGCCTGCCCCGGGCAGGCGGCCTCGGTGCCCTGCCCCCCTCTGAGCCGGGCAGCCAGGGGCAGCCAGGGGGAGGCGGTGATGTCACGGCGGCAGAGTCCTGGGCGGAGGTAGGCCAGCGGGAGGGCGGCGCCTCCTGCCCCGGGGGCCCTTCCTCTGGGTGACGGCAGGTCGGCAGGTGCTGCCCCGAGGCTGGGGGCTCCGTGGTGCCTGTCCTGCGGACACTCGGGCCCCTAACGTGGGTCCTGCACTCACAGGTGCTGCGGCAGAGTCCGCGGAAGCCACTCTGCTCAGCCTGGCGTCCCCGGGGCTGGAGTGAAGGCGTGGCTGGGCATCCGCCTGGTCCTGGGGCCCCACACTGCCCAGGCCAGGGCCTGCCCTGGGGGAGCCCCGGAGGAGGGTGGGGGCTGCCGGGCTTTCGGGGCGCGGCAGCTGGACGGAGGGGGGTGAGCTGAGCCTCCTCGGGCCTCTCGGCTGCCGGAACGGCCCTGCTCGGTCACTGGTGGCGGCACAGGCGGGACTGACCACGCGGCCTCTGTTCTCTGCCTTCCAGTTACGATTTCCGGGCAGTTCTGTGCAGGTGACGGCGCCCAGGTTATGACGACTAATCCCAAACCGAACAAGGCATTAAAGGTGAGCGGGCGCCCTGGCCGGGCGGCTCCGTGGGTCCCAGGTTGAGTTGTGGGCTTGATCCACAATAGGGGACGTGCAGGGGGCAGCCAATCAATGATTCTCTCTCCCTCTCCCCTCCTCTAAGAAATAATAAAATTATATTTAAAAAAAAAAAAGGTGAGCGGGTGAGAGGGGCAGCCCAGGCCAGCTGCGCCTGTCCGCGGTGAGGAAGGAGGCCTGTGCCAGGGCTTGGGCTGAGGGAGTGCCACCAAGTGAGGGGCACAGTCAGGCGTGGCCTCCGGAGGCGCCAGCCCTCAGCCCGGGCGGAGGACCCCTGGGGGGGCCCGGTGTGGGCGGTGGGTCTGCTCTGACTCCTCAGCCGGAGGCTGGCTGTGCCCTCAGGCCTCTGCCTCTGGTCCTGGGATCTCGTGCACCTGGCACCCGCCTGCCTGTCCGTCCCGCTCCAGGCTCTGGGGCCCCAAGGCAGCGCCCTGGAGGCTGTGGCTGTGTAGCCGGGCCGTGGCCACGGGATGCGCCTTGGCGACCTTTGGTGGGGGCGGGGCTGCGGGACCCGGGCCTGGCGCTGACCTGTGCCCGGCCGGCCGCAGGTCAAGAAGGAGGCGGGCGAGAACGCCCTGGTGCTCAGCGACGAGGAGCTGGTGTCCATGTCGGTGCGGGAGCTGAACCAGCACCTGCGGGGCCTGTCCCGGGAGGAGGTGGCGCGGCTGAAGCAGCGGCGGCGCACACTCAAGAACCGCGGCTACGCCGCCAGCTGCCGCGTGAAGCGGGTGACGCAGAAGGAGGAGCTGGAGCGGCAGCGGGCGGAGCTGCAGCGCGAGGTGGAGAAGCTGGCCTCGGAGAACGCCAGCATGCGGCTGGAGCTGGGCGCCCTGCGCTCCAAGTACGAGGCGCTGCAGACCTTCGCGCGCACCGTGGCCCGCGGGCCCGTGGCGCCCTCCAAGGCGGCCACCACCAGCGTCATCACCATCGTCAAGTCGCCCTCCGCGCCCTTCTCGGCCGCCTCCTAGTGCCGGGCCGGGCGCAGGGGCACCGGGCACGTCCCTCGTGCCGTCCGAGGGCCCACGGGGCCGATCCCAACACCAAGGCCACGTGCAGTGTCCACGGGGCTCCCGTGGGGCCGGCGGAGAGGAGGGTCCACGGACCTGTGTGCCGCACGCCTTCCTGCACGCACCCACATGCGCCCGCACGCGCACACGCACACGCACACGCACTGGCCGCCCTCGGTCGCTTTAGGGTCTGTCTCCCGGGGGGCCTCGGAGGCTCCGGCCTGAGGCCCCAGGGCCCTGCCCACCTCCAGCCTCAGCAGCTGCCAGCAGCGGAGCCTGGTCCCTGCGGCGGCTGGAGCCCCACTGCCCGGGCCGCCCGGCTGCCCCAGGAGGAGCCTTCTGCTGGGCCACACGCACCGTGCCCGCCGCGGCCGCGCCCTGTGCCGGGCGGCGGGCAAAGGGGGGCTCCTGGGCCTGGAGCAGCCGCTGCTCACGGGCATCACGGGGCAGTGTCCCTGTGTCGGTGACGAGGCAGGTACCCAGCTCCCGGCTGCAGCCCTCCAGCCCTGCCGACCTGCAGAGCCTGGGCTGGGGGGGGCTGGGGCGGGAGGGGGAGGAGGGGAGCTCGGTGGAATGGGTTGGCGCAGGGGGTCTGCTCAGCCGTGGGAGTTGGAGGTGGAGCTGGGCTGCGCCTGGTTCCTGCAGCCAGAGGAGGGAGGAGAGGGGTGCAGGAGGCGGCACAGGCCGGAAGGTGGGGCGCCTGCGTGGTGTCTGGACAGAGGACGGGACCCTGCAACCTTGGTGCTTCATCATCACCTGCACCCTTCTGGGAGCCACGGGTGACCTCGGTGACCTCTGCCGGGGCTTCCTGCCCTCGGCGCTGCTGCAGGAGCCGCCCGTCCTGGGAGGAGGCTGGGGCAGTCCCAGCCCGAGCCCCACGCCGCCCGGAGCCCAGGCTCCTGACCCCGCCTGGGAGGACCAGCAAGCTGTGAAGGCACGCCGCCTGGAGGAGGGGCGGAGGCCCGCGTCCGGCCCGGCTGCCTCTGTCCCCGAAGGACAGTGACCGCTGGCCCGCGGCTGCGTCCTGTCCTGGGGTCCGGGGGGCTGGGCGAGCGGCCCCAGAGTGAGGCCGGGGTGGGCACTGTCGACGCCATAGCTGTAGGTAATCCACATTGGATGTCAGTAAGGACCGGGGAGTATTTAAAAGAGAAGTATATATATATATATATAAAATTCTATAAACATTTTATCGTCGGGTTTTGTACCTCTTCCTGTTTGATACTGTACATGTGCAGCGGGCTGCGGGCGGAAGATCCAGATTGGAGCTCTGCCTGCCCCCGTCTTCCCACTGCCCTCTGGGCCTGCCCACTGGGTTCCTAGAATGCCCAGCTACCCCCTCCCCCGGGGGCAGGGGTCGCGGGAGGCCTGGTGCATCCCTCGTGCTTTTCCTTCCCGATTATGACCATCACTGTCACGTTTAATAGGTGGACTTTTATTTAAGAGGACAGGGAGGCCCTGGGCTTCAGACCGGAATCTTCCACGGGCACCTGCCTTCCCAGGGCAGGCCCGCCCCTCGCCTCGGCGCTCAGCAATTCCATTTCAATATTTATTTTGTGCTGCTTCTGCCCCGACATAAATTATTGAGACGACCCTCTCGTGGCCCTGTCCCCATGGGCATGCCGTGCCCGCAGCCACACCTAATTTATTGCTGTACATCTCCGCCAGACGCTTTTGTACCTTCGCAATAAAGACTCCTCGTTTCAGGGGTGTCTCCTGTGTGGTTGGTGGTCCCCCCACTTCCCTTCACCCGAACCAGGTGCTGCTGAGGTCGGGTCTCCTGAGCTGCCTGGTCCCGCGCTGGGCGGCCAGCGGGAGGGGCAGCAGGCTCCCTCCCTGGTTGGTGGGCAGGGTTCCCAGGTCCCACCTGCCCTGGCCGGGGGCCATCCACGGACACAGCCTCTGCAGTGGCCGCTGTCACCCTGAGCTGGTCAGTGGCAGCCACAGGTGTCCCCAGCTGAGCAGATCCCGGGGCCGGCCCAGCTGGTCATCGAGAGCCTCCAGGCCAGGAGCCGGAGCCTGTGCATGTGAGTGGTGGGCGCACCGAGGCCCAGGCAAGCCGCTCCTGCCCGTGGCCACGGCAGGCCCGAGGCCTGAGCGGCAGCCCTGACACCCCAGGGCCTCTCGCCGGCGGGCAGGACCTGGACACCGGCTCTGCCCTCACGTTGGACCGGTTCTGCCCACGACAGGAGTCTCGGGGCCAGGACGGAGAGAGCGGGTCTCCGCAGCTGTGACCGCAGGTGGCTCAGCCTCTGGGCATGGCCGCCTCCCGGGCTGTCACGAGGAAGAGCGTGCCGTCTGGCCAGCTTCTTGGCAAACGCCGACCTCCCCTCCCTCCCAAGCACCAAGCCCAGCACCGCCGTCTGTCCCTGCACAGCCTGCCCCGCCGCCCGCCGCCCCCGTGTGTCCCTGGGCCTCTGACTGCCGTGCACAGCGCTGGGAGCTCAGGCCCGCGGGGGTGGGCGGGCTCCCCTGACCCAGCCTCCACAAGGCCCCCGCCTGGTGGGCACCTCTCCCTCCAGGAGGGCCGGGCCGCTGCCAAACCGCGGACCGAGCCTGGGTGCGGCTGCCAGCTGCAGAGGCCAGATAAGCCTCAGGGGACCTTCCAGCGGGCGCAGGGGGGGCGGCCTCTCTTAGCAGCAGCCGCTGGGCCCGGGAGGGAGGCTGCCCCAGAGCCGTCCCAGGCCCAGGGAGGACCTCGCCGCCCGCCACTCTGTGTGGAGAGTCTGGACCTGGCACCTCTGCCTGGTTCCCTGGTGATGCAGGAGCAGGTGGCCCGAGGGTTGGGGGGGGGGGTTCGCAGGGCGGTGGCCACTGGGCCTCCTGCCTATAGGCTCTTGGGAGCCTGTGCTGCTGCCCAGCCCCCCCCCCCCCGCCACCTGCTGACACCCAGACACAGGATGGAACTCAGCTGCAGAGCCCGCCCCTCCTGTTAGGCCTGCCCATGTGTGACCCCGACTCCCAGGCTCCCAGAGGTCCGGCAGCAAGACCGCTCCCCCCCCCCCCCCCCACACACACACACACGGAGAAGAGGACAGGACGCGCCTCCAGGCCCCAGCTCCTCCACCCTCCCACTCTGTATGTGCGGCCTGGACCCACGTGGGAGGGGCTGTGAGGGGGTCCCAGCCTCAGGGGCGCGGGGCAGGGCATTCAGTGAGCCCCCCGTCCTGTCCTGCTCGGAGCTGGGACACTGCCCCAGTACACAGACTTGGCACCACGGGCCCCTTCCACCTCGCCGCCCGCATCCATCAGGGCCCGGGAGTCCCAGAAAGCCCGGTTTATGCATAAATAAGCTCGGCTGGGGGCCCCGCACCCCCAGGCCCTCACGGGAGCACCTCCAGGCGAGGGATGGGGAGCAGTGCCCGAGAGGACCGGCCAGACCCGCCCCACGGCCTGAGCCGTGCTGCCGCCTGCAGCCTGGGACCCGTCAGGGCGGCCACCCAGCGCCGGAGGGCGAGGCCAGCTGCACCAGGTCCCTGGCTCCTTGGACAGCCGGGCGCCCGCTCCCACGGGCCGGGCCGGCAGGAGCTTCGGCGGAGGGCCGGGGCGAGGGGCCCTGCCCTGTCCCAGCGGCCAGACCCCGGCCTACGGGTCCTCCAAGGGGATCAGCATCTGCTTCTCGATGCTGCGGCTCCTCCTGCCCCGCCCCCGCGCCGGGGAGGGTGCCGGGCGGCGGGGCCTGTGCGTGGCCTGCTGCGTGTAGAGCTGGCAGGCGGGTGAGAAGTTGTGGATGGCGTCGCTCACGATGTCCTGCTCATGGTCTCCCGGAGGCCGCTGGAGAGGCTCTGCATGGGCGCCGGGGCGCTGCGGGCGGCACGGGGCTGGTCACCACGGCCCTGCTCCCCTCGACCCCAGCCCGGCACCGCCTGCTCCTGCCCTCCCTCGGGGGCTGCCCAGGGCAGCCAGGGGCCACACCACACAACCGACCCCGTCCGGCTGCCCAGGCCTGGTGTGGGGGGCAGGCGCCTGGGGCCCGTGTCAAACGGCCCGCCCCTCCCCGCCCACTGCGGCCGGTCTGCGCCCCCGGACCAGGTGCAGACGAGGCTCCTGGCCCGCCCAGCCTCGCCCTGTCCCCCTGCCCAGGGAGTGGACATTTGGCATGTGGGGACCCGGATGGGGACGGGGTGTGGCCACGCCCCCCGGGCCTCCCTGAGCCCCCCTCCGCCCCGGCCGCAGGGCCGCCCACCTGGCGAGCTGTCCTCCTCGGTACACACGGAAGGGGAAGGCGTGGCGCAGGGCGACGGAGGCGAAGAGCATCTCCAGGCAGATGGCGAAATTCTGGTAGCCGGCGGCCAGCGTGCCGGCGCCCACCCTGCTCCCGTCCGCGGCCTGGCCCTCGCGGATGACGCCGCAGTGCTCCAGGATGGCCAGCAGCATGCCTGGGTGGGACGGCCACTCAGCACCCACCGAGCGGGGCACCGAGGTTCGGAGGTTCCCCGCGGCCCTGGCGCCCTCCGCTGCCCAGTGGCTGGGAGTGCCTGCAGCCGGCCCGGGCTGACGGACCGCTCCTCTACGGGCCACCCCCACCCACTGCAGCCCCGGGGGGAGGGCCCGCCATGGGCGCCGGCCACCCACCCTGCCGGAAGGAGAGGAAGAGACGGCTTGATGGTGAGGAACGTGAGCGCCGGCCGGAAGGGCTGCAGCAGCTCGCGAGTGGCGGCGTGGAAGAGCAGCAGGGCGCAGAGCGCCAGGCTGACCGAGGCGCTGTGCACCAGGTGACGTAGAGGAGCCGCTGTGGACACTGGGCACGGGCAGCGGGGTCAGGGCAGCGGGGTCAGGGGGCAGCGGGGTCAGGGGGCAGCGGGGGTCAGAGGGCAGCGGGGGTCAGGGGGCAGCGGGGGTCAGAGGACAGCAGGGGTCAGGGGCCATGCCCGCGGCCACCCCCCATGTCCGGCGGCCACCCCCCATGCCCGCGACCACCCTCCCTGCCCGCGGCCACACTGCCAGCCTTACTTGAAGTCCCC